ATTTCTATGTTTATTACTGAATAAAAGTAACTAAATATTCAAGTAAATTTTTATTTATTAGAAAACAATTTACAAAATTGGTATTCGCTCCGTGCGCGACAGCAGCGCCAATTTGTTTCAGTATTAAAGGACTATTTCTGCCTATACTGACAAATACACTTTTTAATAGTATTCGTAAATAGAAAGTATATATGTTAGTTTTAATAAAAGTATATGGATTTGTAAAACAAGTAAAACATTAATTAAAAAGAAATATCTTTAGGATTAAACCTGGTTTTACAAATAATTCCTCACTATGCTATATGTACAAAAAATTCAAAAGAAAAATTACCCTACAATAAATCTCATTTTAGTATAACTAAAATAAGTAGGTAAAATACTTTAATACAGTATGTACCCTAGCACCTTGTGTTTGTGGATTATTTTAGAGTCATAAGTACCTAAGAGTTATTACTAGTCAGATAACTAAACAGTAATCAAACTTTGGAAAACTCAAAAGAATATAAGGAAATTCACTATATTTCCTAACAAAAAAATGTATACAACTATAAAATTGTTACCTGCAATTATAAGGTAAAGTTATCCTTATACGAACTTAAATGCTTGGGAAAATAGAAGTGAGTCGCTGATGGATCCCTCGGGTAGAATCTTGATTCACCCTGTTCTTCAAAAAAGGTGAGGAGGTTGAGAAAATAAAACGATTTATAGTGACAGCCACCAGCTAGGCTCTCATTTGTTGTGTACTCAATGTAATCCCATGGGGCAGAGAGAGTTCTTCCTAGCTCTAGCATACACTGTGATCTAAAAGGTGAACTTTACAACATACTTCACCACTAGTTCAGTAACTGAAGACCTGAAAATATGCAAAGCTGTCATTAAGTCGGTCCAGATTTCCTTTGTGGCTCAATTCTTAGGTCTTGACGGTTGCTTTTAAGGGCGAAAACTTTTACCAACACTGCTGGGTCGGAAAGGGCTCAAAATGGCCCCTAAAATCCGAAAAAATGGTTTCCTGCTAATATCTGCCAAAATATACAAATTAGACAATTTTTGTTCCGATAAAAAATGAAGATTGTATCATTATCTAAATAAATGGTTCCCACCATTTTTTTCGCAAGACAAATATTTTTGCAAAAACGGCCTTCGAAAAAGCACGAATTTTTGCACTGAATAGAAATGTTAGTTTCTCATTGAATTTCTGCTCGAGGAAGTTAGGAATACATTGATTTTCATGTTTCGGACTTTGGAGACCAATTGTAGATGGCGTCAGCGGCATACCTCTGCTCACTAAATTATGGGGCCTATGAATGGAAATCGGGGCACCAATCGATCTTTTGACAATTATTGGCGGATTCTACTGGATTTTTTCTGTAAAGTAGCGCTTGGGGTATCTCATCTATATTGCCGAATGTTCTGTGTAATTTGCGTTGCAAAATTTAATAGAAAAGTGCAAAAAATTTTTTTTTTCATGTGGCAGTCTCAAATCCCGGCGCTTTGCCTAATAGTGGGTTATTAGTTTTAGAGTGTGATGAATATTGACCCGAGGAGACCCTTTATATTTTCTGTGTCTGTTGCAAAATTTTCGCCAACTTCTATCAGAACAATATAGGTCCAGGGTTTCAGAAAAATAAGAAAGTTTCTGAAAAATTTCTTTTATTATGAAAAACATGTTGAAAATACGAAATATATAGCAATGTTTATAATTTATCATACGTTAAACCATTCAATGTTTTTGCTCTTGCTCTATTCCTTTCCCTCCTCCACGCGTCCCTTCCCCTTGTTTTTCCAACCCCTGTATTGCTGTCTCGACAGCTATTTCATCATCCTCCCCTTCAACCCCTTCTGAGTCTCGATCCATCTCTAATTCTTCCGGGAAAATACCTTCATTTTTGTTATAATTAAAACATTGTGTCGACTGACACGAACCACAGACAGGCGAGCATTTCAGTCCAGCTTTTAAACATGAACAATTCTTTTCGCAGCCTGTCTTGCACTGACAAAAAATTATCTTCAAGAGTTCCAGGGGGGCCGGATCTCTTTTACACTTAATTTCATTAATTTTTCTGATAATTTACACTCACTTTGTAAAGCAAATCTTCTAGAAGTGCCGCTAAAATCTCTGGATCTAAAGGGTTTTCTATTTTATGTTTGTTTTAACCTAAAAAAAAAAGAATAACATTAGTAGAAATAATTATATGATAGATATAGCAACAAAAGACTTACCTCAATCCCAAATCTTTGATATATATGTCGGATATCGGATATTTAGGGCGTCACCGTCAGACATTGTTATGACAAAACACTACATTTAACACTTGTAAAACTTGTTAATGCAATATAAAACAATAAACAATGTTGACAACACTTTAAACGACGTTACACAAATAATTATTAAAGAAGTACGGATAATAATACGATATCAATTATTAATCAATTAAAGAAATGATACTAGCGATCCGGAGCCAGCATATTACCTTCCGATCGATTATACTTCTCTAAACTGTTCTCATTCTTTTATTTTCTTTACCAACATCCTGCTGGCTCCGTTCCGCTCCCCTTGTCCCTCACTATGAAAGGCAAGTGTGTATCATTTTGCTAAATCATCATTTATAAAAATCAAATAGAAGCTAACAACTTATCTTAAAATACCGACTACCAATATATCAAACTATAAAAACTATAAACAAAAGTTAAACATCAGCGCCGCCGACATATATATTCCACTTCAACTCATTTGTGCTAAATATAGAATAGAAAAGTAATCATTGTTTAGTATTGTACTGCTCGAACCCAGAATTGTGAATTTTCTTTAAATATACGAAAGAAATATATAACAACCGACAATAACGACTCCAAAAACAACAGAGATTGTATACCAACAAAAGCAGACGATTAAGGTGAGCGTGAGGCGCGTGGGTACACGTGGTTAGGTTATGATGGAATATCATAGATCTCAGGCGGAGAGCGTAAAAATGGGGGAGATAATTCTAACAAACAGTTTAGAACCACGCTCACATACGGGGATCAATTGATAGAACTGGAAAGGTAAGAATATCAGCTTCACTTTGGTCTGGGTATTAATGTTCAAAAAATGAACAGCGGGGAACAAGAAGTATTTTAAAAAAAAGTCCGGTTTTCCCCGGTGTCATCAATTTTCCCGATTTCTGGAAAATGGAGCAACTTTATTAAAAAAAAAAATACATTCAAAAAGTAGACACTCTAAGCTTTAAAATGGTGTGCATTGAATAACAGTATAATGAAATATGAGTTTTTAATTACTGCTTATTTCAAAGATTTCTAAAACTCCGAAAACGTATGAAAAATGCAAATAAACAAATCAATTTTGTTTTAAAACGCCAGGAAGATACTGGAAAAAATTTCTCAGATCATTCAAGACATCTGAAGATTCCATTTAAAACAAAAATGGGATAAAAAAACTATTAAAAGAATAAAAATATGAATGAATTACTATAAAGTGGTCCAAAATTGTAGGAAAACGCAACTTTGACCCCTTTTTTAATGTTCTTGACAATAAATAACGGCCTTCAAGGCACATGGATTGATAACTATGGGTTTTCCCATTGTAATGAACTCTGAATGATTGAAAAATATCAATTTTTGACCGAGTATTGAAACAATTTGTCCACCCGTTTACAAGCTAATCAGTATTGCTATAGAGATAAGCAGGGGCTGAACGAGGGACTTCTGATTACGGTTATCTCGAAACCTGTCGAATTCCCGACAAAAATGATAGGGACCATTTTTGTAGATAATGATAAGATCTTTCTTTTTTATCTAAACAAAAATTCTCTAATTTGCATATTGTGGAAGATATTGGTAGGAAGCCAGTTTTAGGGTCCATTTTGAGTCCTTTTCGACTCAGCAGAGTTGGTAAAAGTTTTCGACCTTGGAAGCGACCGCCGAGACCTAAGAGTTGGTTGGTCCCTTTAGTTACTGGACTACACTTCAGTCTAGGGTGCTGTTGTAAAATGCCTTATACAATTTCAATATTTGTTTTTGGACTCGTGCAATGACAATTAACAATTCGTCTCCAAAAATGAGGGAAAAAAAATAAATATGGCTCCACAAGCCACGACTTGAAAACATCAGTGCCTTTTAACTAGCACTGAGGGGTATCCAAATGTCGATACACTTAAATGGTCCCTAAATGACCGTGATATCCTATAAATATAAATACCCCATAAGAATGTCTTTTTTAAAATCCAAATATTTAAAATAAACTTACCAAACATGTGGCCATTAAAATTAACGATGTTTACACATCAAACGTGTCGAACCAGAAGGAACGATAAACCCTTTTCGTTAACCGAGTTAAGACAAAGAAAAACGATCGTTGCTCCTATTCAAAATTTATAGTTATTTAAGCAGGCTTTATAGGCAACACACCATACATTAATGTGCTATACGTGTTGATTTACAGTAGGCACCCATTTCTCTGAAATAATCCCTATAGACCAAGTTTGCTGGCGTTATTGATTTATTCGGTGTCAAGAATATATAGGATGAAATAAAAAAATCAAAAAACAAAATTAGGTCCAATTTTCATGTTACAGAACAACTATTGCTGATAGAATTTTTTTTTGATCTTATAAAATATTTATTTTAACCATGCATTTATAGTACCAATAAAGATATTATAAAGTGAATAAATACTGATGAAAAAATGAATTGAAATAACATAATGAAAAGCAGAACCAAGAGATAGCGACAGCACTTCAATATGTAGGTCCATCGGTCCTATGTCGCTGTTCCATGCATTGATCTCGCATTTTCAATTGGTACCTTTAAATACGTTACAGAAACCGTTGCAGGTTCAGTTGCTGCTCGCCAGATTACGCCCCCTTTATACAACTTATCTTTATTGAATTACAATTTAATTTTAATTTTATTTTCCCAAAATTTTGAATTTGAAATATACGAAAATTCATCTATTCTTTCGTGCGTTATTGAAATAATTAATGAAAAATATAATTTTAGGTACGTGCCTTTGCAGAAAAACTGAAGAGTCGAGAAAAAAAGATTGACATTTTAATACACAACGCAGGTATCGGATTTTGCGATGATAGCATGACAGTGGATGGCCTAAATTTGACTATGCAAGTAAATTATTATAGTCCATTTCTGCTCACACATTTATTAATAGGTAATATTTTTTTAAATCAATTATTTCATAGTAAACATGCTATTTTATTTTCAAAATGCAAATTACTTCCAGAAGTGTATTAAGATCATCTTTATTTTTCACAAATCGAATACCGATCGAAACCAATTTTTTCTAATTTTGACGTAATATATAATCTTATTTAAGACAACTAAAACTCAAAATTTATCGCACTAATTCTTTGCCAGTTAATGTAATAATAGTAAAATTTTTTTGTTACCGTTTCTATTAAACAATAAGCATCATATGTGGTAAGTTTTATTTGTCTCATCGAAGATGACCACATTTTAGAGGTTGGAATCACTTCTTAGTTTATAATTTTATTTGCTGAAAATTTAATTAATTGGTTGAAAAAACTAAATTTTGAACTTTAAATAGCTAATTCTTAACGTCAACATTTTACAACGGCATTTTTTACAAAAACGCAAAATTCTGTTAGTTAACTTAATATTGGGGTGATTAAAAATTAAGTGCAAAAATTTTAAGGGCGTATTTACTAGGCAAAAATAAAAAAAATGTTCATATGTGCTAACTTGCTTCGTTTTCTAGATAAAAGTTTTTTAAAAAATCGTCTTTTTGTCAATAACTTAAAAACCTTTCAGTCGATTTAAATAAAATTTGGTAGGCCCATTTTTATGTTATAAGGGCCTTCCTTTGATGGGTATACAATAAATTTATTAATTCCAGTGGCGTCTCAGGGGGCTACCTACTTGATACTTATAGGTAAAATTATGGCACGGCACTGCTTTTTTGAAAATTAATTTTTTTTTTAGATTATGCGATCTCCAAGAAAAAAATCAAAATTTGTGCCTGGCCCTATTAAAACAAGTAAAAAATTAATTACTAAATGATGGAGATTTTGAGATTGTCGCCAAATAGGTCTTTCTTAATTTTTATTTGTGTTATAAAATTTCATTCATTATTTAGTCCATTGGCGTTTCAAAGTGTGATTTTATTTAATTAATAATTGTTAAAAAACCGATTTAAAAAAAAAGATTTTGACTCCCTGTATCTAGAAAACCAAACAAGTTAGGGCATATGATTAAATAAAAAAAAAAAAAAACTTGTGGCACTCGGGGACTGCCGCGGTAAAGCTATTGCATAGCATTTTTTTATCAACTTATGCAATTATATATAATTATTTATTTATTTTAGTTATACAGTTTTTTTTTTTGATATTAATTCAAGTTACACTTTTTGAGCGTGGTGACCGATAAGAAAACAAAGTTTTCTCTTTTATTGAATTTACGATTTTTCGATTTTTCAAATTTTTTGATTTTTCGATTTTTCGATTTTTCGATTTTTCGATTTTTCGGATTTTTCGGATTTTTCGGATTTTTCGGATTTTTCGGATTTTTCGGATTTTTCGGATTTTTCGATTTTTCGATTTTTCGATTTTTCGATTTTTCGATTTTTCGATTTTTCGATTTTTCGATTTTTCGATTTTTCGATTTTTCGATTTTTCGATTTTTCGATTTTTCGATTTTTCGATTTTTCGATTTTTCGATTTTTCGATTTTTCGATTTTTCGATTTTTCGATTTTTCGATTTTTCGATTTTTCGATTTTTCGATTTTTCGATTTTTCGATTTTTCGATTTTTCGATTTTTCGATTTTTCGATTTTTCGATTTTTCGATTTTTCGATTTTTCGATTTTTCGATTTTTCGATTTTTCGATTTTTCGATTTTTCGATTTTTCGATTTTTCGATTTTTCGATTTTTCGATTTTTCGATTTTTCGATTTTTCGATTTTTCGATTTTTCGATTTTTCGATTTTTCGATTTTTCGATTTTTCGATTTTTCGATTTTTTTGATTTTTTGATTTTTTGATTTTTCGATTTTTCGATTTTTCGATTTTTCGATTTTTCGATTTTTCGATTTTTCGATTTTTCGATTTTTCGATTTTTGGATTTTTCGATTTTTCGATTTTTCGATTTTTCGATTTTTCGATTTTTCGATTTTTCGATTTTTCGATTTTTCGATTTTTCGATTTTTCGATTTTTCGATTTTTCGATTTTTCGATTTTTCGATTTTTCGATTTTTCGATTTTTCGATTTTTCGATTTTTCGATTTTTTGATTTTTGGATTTTTCGATTTTTCGATTTTTCGATTTTTCGATTATTCGATTTTTCGATTTTTCGATTTTTCGATTTTTCGATTTTTCGATTTTTCGATTTTTCGATTTTTCGATTTTTCGATTTTTCGATTTTTCGATTTTTCGATTTTTCGATTTTTCGATTTTTCGATTTTTCGATTTTTCGATTTTTCGATTTTTCGATTTTTCGATTTTTCGATTTTTCGATTTTTCGATTTTTCGATTTTTCGATTTTTCGATTTTTCGATTTTTTGATTTTTCGATTTTTCGATTTTTCGATTTTTCGATTTTTTGATTTTTGGATTTTTCGATTTTTCGATTTTTCGATTTTTCGATTATTCGATTTTTCGATTTTTCGATTTTTCGATTTTTCGATTTTTCGATTTTTCGATTTTTCGATTTTTCGATTTTTCGATTTTTCGATTTTTCGATTTTTCGATTTTTCGATTTTTCGATTTTTCGATTTTTCGATTTTTCGATTTTTCGATTTTTCGATTTTTCGATTTTTCGATTTTCTTTTATTTAATAAATGAGAAGTTAATATTGTTTAACGCCGAATCGCTGTGCCGGTCGGAGTGGGGGGTGTTTCGGAATCATTAAATTACTTGATTCGGTCGCCGCGCTCATAGCCCGCGATAAAAGCTATGCAATCGCTTTAAAATTCTTATTTTTGGCTGGTTAATACGACCTTAAAATCTTTGCACTCAATTTTAAATCACCCTGTATAAAAGATTACGATGCACAGAATTTGGAAGGAGTTACCTGCGAGGTCGAAGGAAAACACAGATTATGTCGCCAGATTATTTTGCAGTTTGTTGAGAAATACATAAAGGGTGATCCAATTTTAGTTTCCTATACTGGCAGACAGTTGGTAATAAGTATTTGTTTTCGAAGTGTCAAGTCAGTTTGTGGGAACACTTACGAAATGGATCGCTTGACGATCGCTCAACACCTGCGATTGTTTTATCAAAACAATTTCGTACGAACCGTACTTTTACGCGAAGACTTTGGTCAATTTAATCAATCGTCCTACTGAGCTAACTATTTGGAATGTCTTAAAAAATTTTAAGATATTGGAAGTGTTATAGATAGAAGAAGGCCTGTTTATCATCGTCATGGACGTTTAGCTAAAAATATTGCTGCCGTTAGTGATAGTATAGCTGCCGACCCAAGAATGTCGATTCGCCGGCGCTCGCAAATATTAGGCTTTTCTTATGGCTCCCTTTGGCGCATTTTGCACCAGAATTTGTATTTACACCCATATCTTTATCTTTATCGGTTGTAAGCAGGTAAGGTTAGGTTTAGCCCAGAACACTGCGGCCTCTTGGGTCTATTGTATTTCCCTGCTTTCCCCGTATTCAGGTACTATCTTTGGAATAGTCCTGTGTCTTTGGTTAGTTTTAATAGGTTCCCTACCATGTGTTTCTGAGGCGTTCTTTCCGGTTCTAGGCCGAAAAGGATGAAACGTTGCCTAGTAAGAGCTTTGCATTCGAAAATCACATGGTATGAGATTTCTTCCTCTTCCATGCAAAGTCTACACGTAGTGGGATCATTTTGTAATCCCATTACATGAAGGTGTTTCAGCAAGCAGTGCCCCATTAGTAATCCCACAATGGCGGATATCTGAAACCTTGCGAGTTATAGGGGCTCAGTAGCTATGCGTGGGTTTGGTCCCCTTAGCATGAGCTTACTGATTCTGTGTCCTCTTATCTGTTGCCAGTGAATTTGGTGTTTTATGCTTATCCACCTGTTCACTGCCTGTCGAGCAGAGGTTTTGCTTATCCCAAATACAGGTTCGGGTCTTGCGAATGGTAGATCAGATCCCTCTTTGGCGAGTTCATCAGCCTTTTCATTTCCTTGGATATCTTTTTGCCCTGGTACCCACGCTAGTTTTACCTTGTTGTGGGATGTCAGATCATTTAGTATTCCAAGGCAGTTCCAGGCTAGCTTTGACTTGATTCTTTTTGAATCAAGAGCCTTTAATGCTGTTTGGCTATCTGAGAGAATTAGGATGGTGTATTGTACTTCCTTCTTAAATTCTCTCGTACACACAATTCGATTGCATGTATTTCAGCCTAAAATACAGTGGCATGTTTTCCAAGTGAGACGATGATGTCGCATTTGGATTTAACTACATGTACGCCAGAGCCTGTTCCCTTGTTAGTTTTAGATCCATCCGTATACCATACGAGAGCAAGTATTTATATATTGATATGAAAATATTTAGTTTAATTATAAATTATGTAGATAATTTTGATAAAATATAAAAATTTTGTTACTACCAATCAATTTTACAATATATTAAAAAAAACTTTTAACTCACCCGGTAACTCGACTTTTACTGCTTAATCTCAGGGTCCGTGGGTTCAAAACAAATATAATGATTTGGATCTTAATGAGTTGAAAATTTCTTACCGCCAAGTTTAACTGATTTACTTCCCTCAAAATTCCCTCAACGTTTGGTGAATTTACATTAATTTTGAAACTAAAAACAAATCAAACAATATATTAATTCACTAATTATACAAAAAGATTTTCTTTCTTCTTTTTGAATTTGACGGTTCTCTTGGTACCCCAATTGTACCTCACTGCTTCGTCTACTATGTAACTTTTCTGATTAAATGTTATTTATATGCAACTGCTTGCTAAATTACTTCTTCTGTAGTATTCTACTGGATAAATACTTCTTTCATGAATATTTTTAATAAAATGTACCTTACTTCCCTTTAATATTTATTCTGTACCTGCTTCAACCAACATAATCAAGCACAGGTCCTTTTATATAACATGTATTTATTTCTATTCAATATATCCAATTAATTTTACATTTCCATCCAATAAACCCTTTTTTGACAACCCTCTAAAAAAAATCTGACAATTCTCATCATT